CCACTTTTACACTGTCTGTGACCAAGCCATCAGGTTGCCAGGTGGCACCTCCCTTCTGAGTTTTATCTCAGATGTAGCTGTGTTTCCCAACCCCTCACTTCTGAGGGACTGTGGCTTTGACCTGCTCAGACCCTCTGGGGGAGAGTCTCACTGAGCAATGGCTGGGTGCTGGCCCACCCCCAGGAACATTCAGGAGACCATGCTGCTGCTGATGCCCAGAGACTGTGGCCACGTGCCAGCCTGCCCCAGAAAAAGTTTGCGCTATCTTGTAGCAGCAGCATTTCAGGAATTATGGAAAATTGCAACACACATCTGCACCAGTCTACCCCCTTAACGTCCTTGTTCCAGCACCAGTGAATGTGGTTGCTCTCCAGGGTCCACTGGGGCCTTTGCCTGTGGGGAGGCTGTACAGCCTCTACCAAATGTCCTCCCAGCAGGGGAACCGCCTCTTCCCACGTGGCCTGAGGACTCTAAGGACCTCGCTCTCTGTTCCTGGGGATTTGCCCTTCCCACCAGAGCACCACCAGGTATCAAGGTGCAGAGTTTCAGACCCTGAACTCTCCCTGTTTATAAAGTCTTAATGGAATTTAAACCCTCTCCTTTCTCCTTTCTCCCTGTTTTGTTCAATCCCTTGAGTAATCTTTCTTTTCTCTCCAGCTGCTTTTGGGCGGGGGGGGATGTTTTCTGTACTCTCCCCCCATCTCTGTCTTCTCTCTGCAAGGAAAAACAGCTCCCTGCCCTCCGCGGGCTTCTCCCCCAGTTCACCTCTTTGTGCTGCATATCTGCTGAGTTCTCTGGTTCAGGTTGTACAGATTGTTGTGTTAATCCTCAAATCAGTTTTCTAGGTGTGCAAGATGGTTTAGTGTTGATCTGGCTGTATTTCAGGGATGAGAGATGCAAAAAAAACTTCCATGCTGTTCTGTCATCTTGGCCCCCTCCTAGAAATCCTCTGTTCAGCAGTTTTAAGAGACTTTTCTCCTTAGCCCTCATACATATATATATATTTTTTTTTTTTT